CCTGGATTTTGGAGATAATCTTGTATAAAGTGTTGCATAAAGATATCGGCCTGAAATCAGAGATTGAGGAAACATGAGAGGATTTTGGAATGAGCACAATGGTCGTGGTTTTTATACTTTTAGAAAGATAACCTTTTTTTTTAAAAGGCATAATAGCTTTGCATAGAGATGGCCCCAGAATATGCCACCCCAATTTATAGAAATGAAAGTTAAGGCCATCCGAGCTCAGAGAAAAAGAGGAGGCTCCTCAGAATACATCATTTTTAATCTCATCTATAGATATTAGATCAGAAAACATAAAGAGAAAGTGTTGAGGGATAATATTTTCTTTGGGAAAGAAGGTCACGTTAGGTATGGGGAGAGTGGGAGGGTTGTAATATTTGAAAGTGTAGAGTAATGGCCTCATTGGCGTTAGAGATAGAGCCTAAATTCTCCCCCATAGTCGTATATAAAGCCGAGCTTACTAATATTTTCCCTCATCCGAATCTTGGAGTAGAAGAAATTAAGATTATCTTCTCCTTCCTTAATGCAATAAGCTTTCACCCTCTGAATAAGCCAAGAAGCTCTATAAACAATCAAATTAGCAATCTTTCCATTTATAACAATAAGAGTCGAGTTGATATGGGAATTGTTGTGGTCCAAATCCAGCATAGAAGAACGAGAGTTTTGGTTATCTTGTAAAGCTTTTAAGGATGTTTCAATAGCATTGGCAGAAGCCCAAGATTTGGCTTTAATGGAAGCCTTGAACTTCTTGAGTTTACAAGTAAAATCCACCAAAGGATTTACAATGCAAGGCTCCATAAAAATATTAAGCAGAATTACCCAATAACCATGTCTAGAAGTCCAAAAATTTTTGAATTAGAAATGAGTAACAGCTTTGTGGTTGAGGCCATCCAAAATCACTAGGGGGAGTGGTCAGAGCAAAGTGGATCACCAACTAGGTAGTGAGAGGTGGGAAAGCAAGAAATCCACTCTTCATTTTCTAAAGCTCTGTCCAAATTGATGTGGATGGGATTCTCCATTTGTTGGTTAAACCAAGTGAAAAAATGGCCTGTAGAAGGGAGGTCAATCAGTTGGGTGTCAAAAATAAGAGAAATAAAATCCCTTACTCTACTTGAGTGCAAGAGTGATCCACCAGCTTTTTCATTTTGGTATCTACAACAATTAAAGTCCCCCAAGAGAAGCCATTGCATAGACAAAAGTAGGAGTATCTTTGATTTATTGCCAAAGGATAGAACGTTCTTCTGCAGAATTGGACCCATAAATGATGGATACTAAGAAGGTCGGAGTGGAGCCATACGAGATCAACCCGTTGATCATTTATGACAAAATGAAAGTAGGTGAGAAGTGTATCTTTTTAGCAGACCATTTGATCTAAATTCTACCAGTGTTTGACAAAGAGAAATTGTTCCAACTCTCTTCACAATCAAAGATGGAGTGAGAAGCTAAGAACCATAGATCAGAGATAGATTCCGCATGAATCTTATTCTATAGTATACATAACATATCTAACTTGTGGGTCTTGATAAATCGCTTGCATGAGATAACCGTTATGGGGTTATTAAAACCCCTAATATTCCATGAGGCTATGACATTGAGATTTGGAGGAGGTGGTTTGAGGCTTTTTGGAGTGCTTATCTCAAGTGTTTTTAACATGAGAGGATGTAGGGTTAATATGGTTGGATTTTTCAGGGCTTATCTTTATGGAGGGTTCATTAGTCGTGGAGGCCATCAAAGAGGAATTTGCTTCATGTTGATTGTCTGAAAGGGCACCACATTTATTTGAGGAGATAATGGAAGCCATCTGTTTGGCTATAACCGAGGGGATAATTGCACCCAAATAACTTCTTCAGTCGAAGAATTACGATTAAGGATGATGGTTATATAGGGGTTTTTAGGAGGAGAATGTATGGTTTGGTTTGTGGTATGTTGTAAAGAGGTAGTATGGGAGCTGAGGAGGAGGATGGGATATCAGGTGTTAGGGGAGTGCTTTGAGAGGAGGGGGAGGAGGGTTTGCAATACCGGAGATTTTGGGGTTGGGAATATGTAATTATGGAATTCTGTTATTGCTTATACTACGATTCATACCCACATTAGGAGCACGGGAGGTGTTTCTGCCTTTGTTTGCTGGATTTTTATCTTTTACAATATTATGGTTGACGATATTTAAAGGGCAAACCACATCAGAATGAAATAGTGAGCCACATAAATCATAAAGGGAAGGTCTCCATTCATAATGAATTCTCAACTTTGTAATTTCACCTTCAATGGATATGGGGATATAATCAAGATATGTAGTTTTGTTGTTTACATGGACACAAACCTGAGTGTAAGTGAACCTGGATTTTTGGGCAGTTAAGGCATCCACTACTAAGAGGAATTCCGACTTTACTAGCTATCCTAAAAATACCTGCCGAATCCCAATAGCAAAGGGGGAGATCCATGATTTTGAACCAAATGAAAACTGTGGAGAAATTTTCTCTTTGGACTTAAACTTAGGAGACAACTTCTAAAGAACAAAAGGTTTCCCCAATAAAAACTAAACACTCCCATTCCAGGCCATTTTATAGCCCACAATCGAAGAAAATTTGACGAGGAAGAAGCCATCATTCATATTGAAAAGCTGAAAAGTACCTTTAAGTTTCCAAATTTTATGCATGGTAGCAAGAAGAGCCTCATAATACGGTCTCCTTCCTACCGAAAAACCTACCAAGGAAAGGTTCCACTCCTTGGCAACTGCATCTGTTTTAGCTTTTTGAAAAACAACAACTTCATCTGTGGCGTAGGGAGGTTAGCATAGGTGAGGAAAAGAGGGGGGAAGTCCTGAAGGTGGAGAGGGGAACCCATGGAAGAGGGATCCCCTCTAGAAGTAGAGTAAGAGGGAGGCCGGAGGCAACTAAAGGAGGAAGCTCCAAGAGGCAGTTAGGGCATCAATTTTGTTGAAGTGGATATTTCTTATCAACTGCAAGAGTTATTATGACACAATTAGTTTTACTTTTTAAGCTACAATTTTACACTGTTTTGGTTAATGGGGGTAAACAAGTTAAGTTGAGTCTGTCTTTATTATAAGAAGAGAAAATGCATATGATTTAAACAACTATAATAATAAAATGATAACAAAAGGAGATTAAAAGAAAAATAATAAAGAATTACTTAATTTCATATAAAATAGTGATATTTAGGCTTTAATTTTTTTGAAAATTATATGTTTAAAATCCTTAATCCTAATATATTTTAGGTATATTTATATTAATATTTTTTAATGAGCCAGCTGCGAGCTAATAAGTCAGTTGGACTCATGAGCTATTAATCTAGTCGAGCCTGAACTAGTTCACAAGTCTGTTTGACTGAGCTACACTCCTATTTTACGGATGTCAAAAGTGCGAAGAGGCCCAAGAATCCTTAATGGGCCTTAGAGTGGCCTATAAAGAGTAGGCCCACAACACAATCTCTACCTTAGATCCTCTGTGGTTGCCACTAACAAGATCATTCTATGTAGCTTCATATGGGACTAGAAACGTATGTATTTGTTGTTTAATCAAATTATATTTTTTACTTGATCTATAATAATTTGAATGTAAAGTAAAATAAATATAAACATTTTAAAAATTCAATGATTGCAAACTCATTTCCAACTTTATATAAATATCTTTAAAATTTAACATTTCTATCCTCAAAATAATTATAAATATTTTTTCATTTTATCAAAGAAAATTTTAAATAAATATAATTAATCAAACATATGATTTAAACTTTTAATTGCTCTTTGATAATCTTAAAAATGTATTTATAAGAAACCTATCATAGTCTATATATTGAAAATCTTAAGAAATTATTACGTGTGGAGTCGACTCTGTGCATTTACAGAATATTTATTGTATATTTTTTACTGTGCATTTACTTTATATTTTTTGAATATTTATTATTAAATACACAAAATTACTCAAAAAATTCAAAATAATACTAATTAAACATTTAAGAAATACACAGTAATATAAAAAATTATATTATGTCGGTGTGAACATTTCATTAGAGTGTAGACACAACTCTAAGTCGGATTCCGCATTTAATAATTCCATTATTTAATAAGAAAAATAAAATAAAAATAAAGCGTAGCTCTGTCAACTTATTAAATCCGGTAGATCGGTCGTCGGTCGTCGCCTATTTTCAGTGTCGGATGTATTAATATTGAAGCCGACATCTGAACCGCATCAGTTTCGTTAAAATTAAAAAAATCCTCGAACGGAGAGATAAAGAGGACACAGCTTGAAAGGCGAATCCTCCTTAACTCTTCCTCGACCTGAATAAGCAAAGCAAATTAAATATATAATATAGGCCTAATAATTATATACGAAATTTGAATTAAACTTGCTTTGTCAATATTTGAATTATAACGGACTTTTAATAATAATGTCTAAACTCTAAAGTTTGTCTGCATTATATTTATAAGCAAAGCAATTTCATATTTACGTGTGCGTTTAAATATGTATCTTTCCATTATTTAATAAGAAAAATAAAATAAAAATAAAGCGTAGCTCTGGCAACTTATTAAATCCGGTAGATCGGTCGTCGGTCGTCGCCTATTTTCACTGTCGGATGTATTAATATTGAACCCGACATCTGAACCGCATCAGTTTCGTTAAAATTAAAAAAATCCTCGAACGGAGAGATAAAGAGGACACAGCTTGAAAGGCGAATCCTCCTTTAACTCTTCCTCGACCTCAATAAGCAAAGCAAATTAAATATATAATATAGGCCTAATAATTATATACGAAATTTGAATTAAACTTGCTTTGGCAATATTTGAATTTTAACGGACTTTTACGTGTGCGTTTATATATGTATCTTTCACTCCATAATTGCCCTGTCCCATTTTTAAATAAAAAGCTTTATCTAAAAGAGAGAGAGAGAGAGAGAGAGTGAGTGAGCAGAGGCTTGTCACGGGTTATTGCAGATTGGAGACGCAACTAGTAAAGAAGCCAAGTTTGTGAATATAAGGTGGTATACAAGCCAAAAGATTTCCACTCTCTCTTCCTCTCTCTCTCCTCCTTTTACTGCTCAAAGAAGGCAATTAAGGACCCCTCTTGCTTCATTCCTTGGGTGAGCATCTCTACATTTTTTCTTGAGCAAGTCTCTTTTCGTTTTTTTTTTTTGTTTGATTTTGATATTCTGCATGCTCTAATCTACTTGATTAGAAGTAGCAACTTAGCATTTTCTGAATATAACACTAAAGGTTTGCATAGCAGCTACTAGAATATAGTTGGAGAAATTTCTGATTTTTTTTTGTTTTTAGAGATCTGAGAAAGAAACAGTACGCTTTAAGTGTATGAAATTTATTTGAGATTTGAAGTTTCTACATTCTACAGATCTAACAAAGGTATGTCTTATGCACATAGAAATTTACTTGAACGCTAGATGCAGTTGCTGGATTGATATAAATAAGGTTTTCTTTGATATGGTTGGAGATTAATCTGCAAAATATAGTTATAGGATGGATTTTTTTTTTAATTAATTACAGGTAAGCTACTTTCAGCACAATAAAACCTTGTTAGTTGGCCCTTTAGAAGGTGTTTTTTGGGGAAATTTTGGCTGATTTCTATGGTTTCATATTCTACATTTTTATGTTCAATAAACTGTTCTTCTGTGAACAGTGCTATCTGCTGAAGCTTGAACAGTAGATAACATTTCACCTTTTATTAAAAATGGTATATTTTCTTCTTGTTTGATGTGTTGCTGCTGACTTGCAGAATGGGAAGTCATAATCCAGCTATATGGATGTATTTGTTTATCTTTGCACTTTCAACAGCTCTGCTAAGCTTGGCAGTGGTTGCTAAAGCTCTGGATGTAACTTTTGTTGCGAATGCTGTTCAGAAAGGAGCAGGTCTGTTTTTTGTTTTTTAAATCTGTCCAACTTATTTCCTGGAGCTAAGTTCTGTTTTTTTTCTTCTTAAAAAATTGACTTGTTTGTCTATTTTGAGACATTTTGCAGTTTGTTTGGATGGAAGCCCTGCAGCTTATTATTTCTCTCCTGGTTTTGGTTCAGGGGTGAATAACTGGGTGGTTCACATGGAGGTAACGTACTCATGATAGTATTACTGAACATTAAGTAAAAATGCTTTGAAATTTCCCACGATTGAGATTTGAAATGAGAAGTAATTCACCAAGATTTTCTTGCTTTCTAGATTTGATACAGCACAATCATAATTAAATCGTAATGCTGACGTGGGAATTTTGCCTCTCTTCTTCTATATTCAGCCATCATATTCTGGACTGATGCAACATTATGTACTTATACTCATCTTCTTTTCCACAGGGTGGAGGATGGTGCAGTAATGAGGAAGATTGCGTGGAGCGTAAAAGTAATTTTCGAGGTTCTTCTAAGGATTCAGGGCAGATGTCCTTCTCTGGTATTTTGGGGAGCAGCCAACAGTCTAATCCAGGTATGGAGATTAATGTTTTCTTCATGATTGTTAGTTATTGTGATCCAATTTCAATTTCAATGTTCTGTTTTTCCTCTAACCGTAGGTTGTGTTAGCACTTCTTTATATTCTTGTGTAGCCCTTACATGCTTTGAAGTTTCTTATTTTCATTTGTAATTGAAGTATAAGTAGAGATGTACAAGCTCCCTTAATAAAATTCCTCATTTAAGTGGCTCAAAGAATGTTTGGTGCTGAGCGATTTACTAGAGTTCCTTTACTGCATGCTTGTGTTGAACTATCAATTCAAGAAGAAGCTAAAGAAGACGAAGAGGATAGAGAGACACAGAAGGTAAAATGAATTCTTTATTATTCTTCCTACTCTGTTACAGAATGTATGAGACATTTATAGATAAATCCTACTGGCTGAGACACGCGTCAGCTTACTATAGGTAGAACAAATATTATATATTTATATGTAATTATTTATGTTCGAAGTCGAATTTCTGGGTTCTTGATTTTTGAATTTCTGCAGTAAAAGATCCGAAAATGCACATCAATGATGGATCATCTGATGATGAACAAATCCAGTTTATTCTGAATTTTATCTTTTTCTTTATTTTTTAAGTATATGATGTCGGGATAATCGTTGGATCGTTGGAAGAAGAGGATGCAAGAAGGAAATCCCAATCCAGGTTACAAACAAAAGCATTAAGCTTTAAAATATCATAATATTCATCAATATCCCCTCCTTCCTTACAATATCTTGTATATATAGGTATAATTGAAGACTCTAAAAAGCATACACCTAAGCTAATAAAGGGTAAACTATTCCTAAGGATTTATTTAGCTAATGATGTTCCACATCATACTCTCTTAGCGTCAAAAAGACATCGACTCCTTCGAGGCACGTTGTCGGTGAGAGAGTTACAGGAGCAGGAAGATACCGAGAGAGACAAACACGGTTTAACAGGAATTGAATGATGGATTGCATTCACAGAACAATGTACAGAGTGGTATTTAATACCGTGTAATGGCAAGTACGTAATAACAAGATACAGAATGTTTTAATATATGCTAATAGCCTCCCACAAATTAAGCATTCGAGGATCGAATGGTTAATTTGCTGCGTAATTCGTTGAACCTTGGCGGTGACAAATGCTTGGTAAGTATGTCCGCTATTTGATCTTTTGAGGACAGGTGAGTGAGTTGAATTGCGCCTGAGCTGAGATGTTCCCGGATGAAGTGATAGTCGATCTCGATATGTTTCGTTCGTGCATGGAAAACCGGGTTCTTCGCAATTGCCATAGCGGAGGTGTTGTCACAATGGATGACAGTGGGTTTATCCTGCGATAGATCGAGCTCGGCAGCTAGGCGTCGGAGCCAAATGACCTCTGAAGTGGCAGCGGAAAGTGATCTGTATTCGGCTTCAGTTGATGATTTGGCGACGGTGACCTGCTTTTTGACAGTCCATGAGATGAGATTTGGACCAATGTATGTGCAAAAACCAGAGATTGATTTTCGGTCGTTGGCATCCGTGGCCCAGTCAGCGTCCGTGTAGGAGTGAAGTTTCATATTTCCGGTAGTGATGGGGAGCCCGTAAGAGAGAGTTCCCTTGATGTAGCGGAGAAGTCTTTTAAGAGCCTTGAAGTCTTGATTGGAAGGATCTTGCATGTGTTGACAGACAACATTAGTGGCAAATGCAAGGTCGGGTCGCGTAATGGTGAGGTACTGTATTGATCCTGCAAGCCGGCGATACAAGGTGGGATCTGAGAATGGAGTTCGGTTGGCTGATTTCTGCTTGGACGGAGAAGATGTCGGGGTGGGTGCAGATTTGCAATCCGTATAACCTGCATCATGTAGAAGTTTGGAAGCATAATGAGTTTGGTTTAAAAAATAGCCGTTAGAGGTTCGGAGAACCTGGATCCCAAGAAACAATGAGATGTCGCCAAGCTGTTTTAGCGCGAATTGGGAGCGAAGCTGTTTGAGAAGACAAGTAATGGCTGGCTCGTTGTTTCCTGTGACGAGAAAATCATCAACGTATATTAGAATGTAAATGTGAATATTGTCTTTGTTAAGAATAAGAAGGGAAGGATCGGAACGACTAAACCGAAATCCTTGAGCTTGAAGAAAACCAGTGAGCTTTAGGAACCATTGCCGTGGTGCTTGTTTTAGACCGTAGAGCGATTTGCGTAGTTTACAAACGAAGTCCGGATGCTGCGGGTTTTGAAAACCAGGCGGTTGACGCATGTAGATGTCATCTGGTAGATCGCCGTGAAGAAACGCGTTCGAGACGTCCAGTTGAAGAAGTTGCCATTGGCGGTTGAGTGCAAGGGTGAGTAGAAGTCGTATTGTTGGCATCTTGGCAACTGGGCTGAATGTCTCGGTGTAGTTGATGCCGAACTTTTGATTGTAGCCGAGGGCTACAAGGCGGGCTTTGTAACGATCGACCTTACCAGTCGGAAGAAGCTTTGTTTTGTAGGTCCATTTGCAACCCAATATTGGTTTGTTTGTAGGAGCGGGAACCAAACTCCATGTGTCTTGTTTCTGTAAAGCAGTGAACTCATCGTTCATAGCCGTTTTCCACTGTGGGAGTTTGACTGCCTGATTGTAATTGAGCGGTGTGGTCTGCGGGTTGAACTGAGTGAGGAGATTGAAGAATTGTTTTGGTTTGGAGATGCCTGATTTAAGGCGAGTTTGCATGGGGTGTGAAGGCTGAGGAATGGACGGGTGGGTTGGATGTGCTAAAGCCGAGGAAGAGTGAGTGTCACTGAAGTGATATGTGTGATTAGAAGAGGAGTTGTTACTGACCGATTGAATTGGTGAAGTAATAATAGGAGAGAAAGTGGTATTGCCAGAAGTGTGAGAAGGGGATGGGTCAATTGTAGTGGTGATGGGATTAACAGTAGAATGAGGAGTTAGAAGCAACGGCGGGATGTTGGTGGGAGTGGAGGATGCTGGTGCCGTGTGGGGTGTTTGAGGAGTTTTGTAGGGAAAATGATTTTCATAGAAAACCACGTGACGAGAAATAATAGTCTTACCTGTGCTTAGTGTGAGACATTTGTAACCTTTGTGCAGAGGCGAATATCCAAGAAAAATGCATTCATGTGATCTCGGAGCAAACTTGTTTGGTGCATAAGGTTTCATCCAAGGAAAGCAAAGGCAGCCGAAGGTGCGCAAATGAGAATAAGATGGAGGTGTACCGTGCAAACGTTGAAACGGAATTTGAAGAGAAATCGATTTGGATGGTAGGAGATTGATGAGGTAATGTGCTGTGGAGAGGGCATCGGTCCAGAATTTGATTGGGAGATTAGCAGCGTGAAGTAGAGCTCAAGTTAAATCAAGAAGATGTCTGTGCTTGCGTTCAGCAAGGCCATTCTGTTCCGGCGTATGAGGGCAAGATAATTGTTGTGTTATACCACGTTCTTGAAGAAAGGCCTTGAAAGAGTTGCTAATGAACTCTCCCCCACCGTCGGACCTAAGAATTTTGGGAGTGGTTTGAAATTGCGTATGAATAATGTTACATAAGTTTTTAAATTTCGACAACGCTTCTTGTTTGGTATACATGAAATAAATCCAAGAAAAGCGTGTGTAGTCGTCGATAAAAACAATATAGTAACGAAAACCATCGATAGAAGGTTGGGGTGCTGGACCCCAAACGTCGGTATGAAGTAATTCAAATGGCGCAGAAGTAATTGAAAAACTTTTATTAAAGACTTGCTTGTGGCTTTTAGCCACATTACATGAGGAGCAAACGAAAGAGGAAGGTAAACTAGAAATTTCCGAGAAACGGTTAGCAAGAACAGATGTGATGTCGTTGCGCGGATGTCCTAGCCGAGCGTGCCAGAGATGTGAAGCCTTGTTGGTGACGGAGAAGGCAGTCTGCTTGATATCCGGAGCAACTTGTATTTGATATAGACCTTTATGAAGGCGTCCATGAAGCAGTGGACGCTGATCCTGTATATCCTTAATAATAAAGCCATGTGCGTCAAAAGTTATGGAAACAGAATTATCTGCGGTGAGCTTTGAAACGGATAACAGATTATGTGTTAAGTTTGGTACATGAAGAAGCTGGAGTCCTAAACAACTACAGCCAGAGTTCTTGTCAATCATCGCTGGAGTTCTTGCCGACCACCGCCGGAGTTCCTCCCGATCTCCGCCGGAGTTCTTGCTAACCATTGCCAGAGTTTTCTTCTGGACCGTTTCTAAAGCTCTTCTCAACCATTGCCTTATTTCAGCCGGCTCATCATTAATCGCCAAATCTCTGTCTGATTATTAACCTGTTGTAATTCCAACGGCTCCAAGTTAAGGAGTGAATCAAACTTTGTAACCAACCCAGACATAGTGGAAATTTCTCATATGGGTCAGGCTCCGTGGTTTTTCCCTTTCGGGTTTTCCACGTAAAAAAATATCTGGTGTTTCTCTCCCTTAATTATCAGTTGGTGTGTTAGATATACGTATATTGCTAAGACGTTATATTTTTCACTCTACCGCCGCGTATATTCTAGTCCGCAACAATATCCATCTTGATAACAAAGGCATTAATTATCACAACCCAACCCTATATGACCTACAGATAACCAGGCCAAACAGTGTTGAATTGGGACATTCCAACCCAAGGTAGTTTTGAGGGGATAATCAAATTTCTTCTATTAATTTATACATACTTCAAAACTTCTAATTAACTATTATAAACAAAATAAAATAATCTTATCCACCATTTTTTTTTATTTCATCAAAATATATATACAATGTTTATAATATAATACATAGCGACACAAACCCATAATATAGAAATGAAATAAATAGCCATGACTACATTAAAAAAAAGTAGGGAAATACCTATATAGATTTAGACAAATTAGATCTTGAACACTCAGCTATCCAATTAACTCTTTCCGTTTGACCTAAAATAGAAGGCAAAATATGTGCGAGCCAACACAACATAATAGGTCACACCAATTGCTCTGAATTTCCAACAATTAATTTATTTAGCATTTAACTGAATGTAAATAACAAGCACTTCAAATATTAGAACAAATAACAGATTTCTTTCAGGGCCCTTATACCTGCCATTAGAAATAAACTCTTATGACTCCCATGGTGGCATATAAAAAAATAGATCCTTATGACTCTCAATGCCTAACACATATTAATATTAAAAAATTTAGACATTTATGACTTGCTGTACATTATCACCAGAATAAAACTTTTAAAATAAAACTTCCACTACATATCAAATCTCCTCATAATCATAAAACTCAAGTATATAAGCATATATCATTGTATTATAGTAAAAGAAATGTAAATAAACTACTTCTAGAATTTCACATAATACTTTAATGGTAGGCAACATAACTATCTACTAAGTAAAATTTTCAGAATTTTAGAATATTACTATATTATTAGGGATTATTCAAAATACTATTTTAAAGCTTTCTTCATACTATAGTCTTATTTTTTGGGACCAGAATTATTTTCTAATTTGCCAGAAACCCCACATTTTTTAATTTGCCCGGTGAAAATTTTCAAAAAAATCTAATTGTCAAGAACTATTGTATCTATAACATAAAAAAAGTTAGGCCATGAAAGTTTTGAAGGTATAACGTTATTACTATTTTTTCCCAATGGAATTATAATTTAAATTAGGAAAATCTTAAAATTCTCATATTTTTGAAAAATGACATAGACAAAATATAACCTATCTCGAGTCAAATAACTTTAGAACTGGGTCAATAGCAGAAAGTGGACTAGAGTCACCTAAATCCTAGCTTTCTTTCCCTAGAATCCTCCTCTCTAGTCAGCTATCTTAAGGGAGAAAAATGAATTTCAAATAGTGAGAATGTATACTTTAATATAAAATTTCAGCCTAATGCTGTAGTGCTTAATCTTGCGTGCCCTATAGGAGCATGACATTGTAACACCTCCACCAGTAGTTCAACAACCAAATTATTTTTGCTAAAAATAGAAAGCTCAAAGTTGTGATGCCACCAAACCTTCCACAACAGTGTTGTTGACCTCGATTTTTGTATGAGTGCCCTCAAGGGTCCTTTATTGATTTAATTGAACCCCGTCGAGCTCAATTCGAGCTCGAGTCAGCTCGAATTGAGTTGAATCAGGCTCGATAAAGTTTAATTAAACTCGATCAATGCCTTCGAGTCCCGTTGATAGCGATCTGAGTCAAACCGGTGTCGGTTTAAGTTTGATGTTTGTACGATTAGTGTAGTCGAGCCACATTGAGACCAAATCAACTTAATTTGAGTCAAATTGAATTCGATTCGAACTCAAATTTGACCTAAATCAGCCCAAGTTAATTCTAATTAAACCCCAATATGCTTTTTAATAAATTTGAATTCTAATTCTAGATCAAGAAATTGAATCAGATGGCCACGATTTTTCCAAGACCCAAGACCTGTCGTTGCCACAATGCTTCAGTTTCCCCTATTCCCAGTAGGGCTGCAAACGAACCGAGCCGAGCCGAGTATGTGAGTGTTCATGTTTGTGTTCATTTAATATCAGCTTGTTCATGTTTGTTCGAGCTTTAGCATTTCTGTTCATGTTTGGTTCATTTAAATTAAGGAGTGTTCATGTTTGGTTCATGTTCAGTTCATGTTCGTTCGTTTAGTGTTTATCGAGCTTGTTCGCGAACATATTTAACGAATTTTTTTAACTATCAATCAATCACGTTCATGAACATATCTATGAACAAACGCATTTATAATAAAATCAATTGTCTATGTAACAAAGATAATGATTATTTATATTTATTAATTCTATAGTGAAATATTAATTATTTTTATCGAGCTTATTCATGAGTTCAAAATCGAACACGAATCGAGCTTAATGACGAGCTTGTTCACAAACTTCAAATGATGTTGTTCGCGAACATAAATGAGCCGAACACATTAGTGTTTAAGTTTGTTTATTTAAGAATCCGAGTATTTAAAATGTTGTTCAAATTTATTTATTTAGTTAATTAAACGATCTCAAAGGAGCTTTAATTGAAACAAAGAGTAGCTCCACGCATTCTCCCTATTCGTATATCCGGGCACTAAGAGGACTAGATCGAAGTCCTTCGGCTCCGATTGCTGGCATTCCAGCATCCCAGGCGGAAATCCTCCCTTCTCTTCCGTCTGTGTCTGGTGCGAAGAAGTTCAGGCGATTTCTCCCCCATCCTCTTTCTCTTGGTTCAAGTCTAGAGGCCGGAAGCCCTTGCCCCTCTTCTTCCTTTAGTCCGCGAGCTCCAGAACCGAACCTGACGATCCCTCACTCCTCGTAGCCTCACTCACGCGAACTGTAGCTGAGATCTCCTCATCTACAGCAGGTATATTTCCTCCATCCCATTCTTCTCCTTTTGCTTTTCTTCTTATTCTTATTCTTCTTCTTCTTCTCCTTCTTCTCCTTCTTTTCCTTCTTCTCCTTCTTCTCCTCCTCCTTTTCCTTACTATCTCCTTTCATTTCTCTCATATGGTTGATACTGTCGAAATATTAATTCAAGAAGGCGCAGAAGAAGACAAAGAGGATAGAGAGACAGAGAAGCTAAAATGAATTCTTTCTTTCTTTCTCACCTATTACAGAATGTATGAAACATTTATAGATAAATCCTACTGGCTGAGGCACGCGTCAGCCTCCTATAGGTAGAACAAATATTGTATATTTATATGTAATTATTTATGTTCTAATAGTCCCCCTCAAACTGACGATTCTTGAGCAATTGTCAGTTTGGATCTGAGATATCTGAATCGGGATGTGGAGAGAGGTTTGGTAAATATGTCCGCTATTTGATCCCTTGTGTTGATTGGAAGTAGTCTGATGTTGTTGTTCTGAATTTGATCTCGTATAAATCTTTGATCAATTTCTATGTGTTTCGTTCTGGCATGAAATACAGGATTGTTGGCCAGTGCTATTGCTGACATATTATCACAAAAGAGATCTATAGGATAATCATGTTTTTCTCCGAAGTTTGCTAGCAGCCGCTTTGTCCATAGCATATCTGCAGTTGCCGCTGCCAACGCACGATATTCTGATTCCATGGAGGATCGTGATACAGTGCATTGCTTCTTGACCGTCCACGATACTAGAGTTTCTCCCAGGAATATGCAATAGCCGGATGTTGATTTCCTGGTTATTGGGTCACCTGCCTAGTCCGCATCTGTGAACATTTTTAACTGTAAGTTTGATCTCGTGATGGGTAAGCCGAAATCGAGAGTTCCTTGGATGTAGCGCAGAAGACAGATGAGTAGATGTTTATGATGGCTGTTCGGATCATGCATGTGTTGTGAGAGTATGTTGACAGCAAAAGCTATGTCCGGACGGGTAATTGTGAGGTATTGAAGTTCGCCTGTGATCTTTCTGTATAATTGCTGATCCAAATTGGTAGGAGTTTCCGGGTATTGCTCTGGAAATTTTGTACAAGAGGGATTAGCTAATGGTTTTACAATATTTAGCTGAGCTTGTTGAATAATAGATTTCGCATATAATGATTGGGAGAGAAAATACTTAGCTGGTAACGTGTTAATTTGAATGCCTAGGAAGTGATTTGCTCGGCCAAGGTGTTTCATAGTGAACCGTTGGTGGAGTTTGTGAAGAAGATCTTGTATGGCACTGGAATTGTTACCGGTTATGAGTATGTCGTCAACGTAAACCAACAAGTAAATTCGAATATGCTGTTTATGAAGCGTGAGTAGCGATTGATCTGCTTTGCTGTGCTGAAATCCCAACGTGAGGAGGTATGAAGTGAACGTTGTATACCATTGCCTTGGTGCTTGTTTCAAGCCATAGATGGCTTTATGTAGCCTACACACTTGGTTCGGATTCGTGTTATCCTCGAATCCCTTTGGTTGTTTCATGTATACTATTTCATTAAGCATTCCGTGTAGAAAAGCATTGGTGACATCTAGTTGTTCTACCGACCATCCATGTGCAAGAGCTATGGTGAATAAGATGCGTATTGTTGGTAATTTGGCAACTGGATTGAAGGTTTCTCTGTAGTCTAGGCCTTCCTCTTATCGATTGCCTTGAGCAACCAATCGGGCTTTGAAACGGGCTATCGAACCATCGGCATGAAATTTTGTTCTGTAAGTCCACCTGCATCCCAATATACGTGCATTAGATGGAGGATTGACTAGACTCCATGTTCCTTGTTGTTGTAGTGCCAAAAATTCCTCCGCCATTGCTTTCCTCCATACAGGATGCTTGGATGCCTCGTTGTAAGTTGATGGATCAGGTACCACTGTATTAGTCTGTGTGTGAAGAAGATTAAGACGACAAGTTGGTTTGATTATGCCATCTTGAAGTCTTGTTCGCATCCGTGTTTCGTTGGCTGATTTGTTTCGCATTGTGGTGTAGGTATTTGTTCCTGACTTCGTACAGGAAGAGGACTGGGACATTGTCTTGGCTGTTCAGTGTTGGTAGAGCTTCTGGGTATAGTTGTGGTAGAACGAGCCATCTGTGAAGAGGTTGTTGGTAGTAGTAGTTCTACAGGCGTTATCACATCATTTGGTAGTTGATGCAAAGAATTCTGTTTAAAAGGAAAACACGATTCATTAAACAATACATTTCGAGAGATTGTAATTTTGTGTGTCAATATTCATGCATTTGTATCCTTTTTGAGTTTCAGAGTAACCCATGAATACGCATGGTGCCGACTTTGGGTCTAGTTTTGTGCGACCCGGCTGCAAGTTAAGTGGAAAACATTCGGACCCAAATGTCCTAAGATGTTTATATGAAGGTTTGGTGTTAAACATAAGTTGTAGAGGAGACACAAGATTTGTATTGGGAGATGGAAGTCGGTTAATCAGGTATGTAGCCGTGAGAACTGCATCCATCCAGTGAGAATGCGGCATGGATGCCGTGTGAAGTAATGTCCTGGCTGTTTCCATAATGTGACGATGTTTCCTCTCCGCGATCCCATTTTGTTCTGGCGTGTACGGGCATGACATTTGATGTACAATACCCTTTGAACGAGTAAATTCGGCTATTTGATTGTTCACATATTCACGCCCTCCATCAGTGCGTATTGCACGAACCTATTTGTTCATTTGTCTTTCAATAAGAGTAATGAAATTGATTAGTGTTTTGGTAACATCAAATTTAAATGTAAGCGGAAATAACCAAGTATATCGAGAGTAATCATCAATGAAAATCGCATAATATCTAAAGCCTTGAATAGACGGGACCGAGAATGGTCCCCATACATCTGAATGTAAAAGTTCTAGACTCAAATGCTTTCTATTATTTGATAAAGGAAACATAGCTCTATGTATTTTACATGAATTGCAAGAAGAACATGTAGCTAAATGTATCGGTATATGTAACTCTCTGTTAGCATCAGAGATAAGCCGAGTTGCCTGATGGTGCGGGTGTCCGAGTCTATTATGCCAATCTTGAGATGTAGTTCGATTGGCATACATAGCTTGATGTGTAATGTGAAGATTCTGCGAAGAGATGCGATAGATGCCATTCTTACTGTGCCCACGGAGAAGCTGCTTGTTGGTCAGAAGATCCTTAAAAACAAATCCGTTAGCATCAAATGTTATTGATATGTTATTATCTTTAACTAAATTAGAAATAGAGAGTAAATTATGAGTAATTGAAGGAATATGAAGAACCGTGGATAGATTAAGCTTACTGTTTGGGGTAGGAAGAATACCCGTGCCCGAATGAGCTATGGGAATCTTTCTTCCATCCCCAACCATGATCGAGTCGTTTCCTTGGTATTCTTTGACATTGTCAAGATTTGTAGTTGTATTGATCATATGTGCAGAGGCACCAGAATCTAGATACCAGTCTGTGGACGATAAATCTTTTGTAGCCAGAAGTGCATTGTTTGCTTTTGTAGAAGCCGACGCCGGGGTGTAGTTAGCATTCATACGATGCCAACAAACGTCTGCTGTGTGACCTTTCTTGGCGCATATTTGGCAGATGACAGCTGAAGCAGTATTTTGTCTAGCCGGAGTCGGACCTGTCGAAAACGAGCGACCGCGACCCCTTCTGCCTCGCGTCCTGTTGGTATATAGTGCCGTCTGCTGATCCACATTTGTCGGATGCCTTAAGGCATCTGTGTTAATATGAATCTCTTCGCTAATCAGTAGCGCGTAGAGATTGTCTAAACTCGGAGGAGTTTGCATTGCCCGTATCGTAGTTTTGAATGACTGATAAGCTGGAGGAAGCCCATTCAGTATGTGATGCAGAATGTCTTCTGTGTCAAGCTTTGCGCCAGCATACGCAATTTGGTCTACCAGTTTCTTGATTTCTGTGAGATATTGATTCATAGTTAGATTTTTCATGGAAATATTCTGAAGTTCATTCTTCAGTTGTATAGCCTTTGATCGATTAGTTGACTGAAACCGAGTTTGAAGCGTTAGCCAGATTGCTGTCGTAGATTCAAGATGCACAACATACGACAAGATTTGAGGAGATATCGTGGCACATATTGCCGCAGCAAGATTTTGATCAGTAACCACCCATTTTGTGCGATCAAGATTGGGATCTTCGTTTTCCCGTGAAGCTTCGTCTGGATCGCTGGCTTTATGCAAGAAGCATTCGAAGCCATTTGCCTTGAGGAGTTTAGCAACTTGATTGCTCCATATGGGATAATTATTAGAGGATAGAGGATGAGGAATGATAGATTTGAGATTGGATATTACAAATTTGAGTGCCGGATCAATATTTGATCTGGGAGGTGCAACGTCGGAGTTGTCGCTGTTGACAGTCGAGTATGATGTTGCCGACGCCATTTGCGTTGCTTCGTTCCTCAGAAACGAATGACTGCTGATACCATGTTGAACTATCAATTCAAGAAGAAGCTAAAGAAGACGAAGAGGATAGAGAGACAGAGAAGGTAAAATGAATTCTTTATTATTCTTCCTACTCTGTTACAGAATGTATGAGACATTTATAGATAAATCCTACTGGCTGAGACATGCGTCAGCTTACTATAGGTAGAACAAATATTATATATTTATATGTAATTATTTATGTTCTAATAGTTTGTCTTGATTTCGGATTCTGGCTTCAAGGGCGTGGTTCTGTTCTCCGGCTTCAAGCACACGCTGGGGTGGTTCTTTTTCACATTTCTGGCTTCTGATAGAAGACAGAAGCCCAACAGAGTTTCTGGCTTGTAGCAGAAGTCGAATTTCTGGGTTCTTGATTTTTGAATTTCTGCAGTAAAAGATCCGAAAATGCACATCAATGATGGATCATCTGATGATGAACAAATCCAATTTATTCTGAATTTTATCTTTTTCTTTATTTTTGAAGTATATGATGTCGGGATAATCGTTGGCTCGTTGGAAGAAGAGGATGCAAGAAGGAAATCCCAATCCAGGTTACAAACAAAAGTACTAAGCTTTAAAATATCATAATATTCATCAATATCCCTTCCTTCCTTACAATATCTTGTATATATAGGTATAATTGAAGACTCTAGAAAGCATACACCTAAGCTAATAAAGGGTAAACTATTCCTAAGGATTTATTTAGCTAATGATCTTCCACATCATACTCCCTTAGTGTCAAAAAGACATCGACTCCTTCGAAGCACGTTGTCGGGAGGGAGATAGCAATCCTCCTAGGTCGAAAATTTTGTTCTCTATATTTGTTGCAACTGCTGGAGGTTTGGAGGTATTTGGTTAAACAAATATATCTTCAGGAAATGATTGTTAGTGTTGATACAATTATCTCAGTATTTTTGTGCTGTGTATAACTCTAAAGAAATTTCCTCTTACATTTAGTCCTTATATTGCTTCACAATTTGGATATTTTCAGAGTTTTTCCATCTACACGCTTAACATGCAATGAAGAACATGCAAAATTATAATCTGATTTAATCATGGTTAAAAAAATTAGTCCCATTTTCAATTTCATCTAGATTAAAATTTCCACATACTGCATATCTCCTAAATTTTTTCAAAAGAAAAAGAATAATAAGGAGAAATCCTTTCTTCCTTAATCTTTCTTCTGTAAAGTTAATTTTTTTTGTTCTTTCTTTCAACTTCACACCCTTGTATGTTCTTCTCGTTGTTGATTCATATTGAATCATCATCATAAACTGCATATCATGCTACTGTGCTAGAGGATTTAGATTCTCTTTCTTTTGCAATCTAAACTAGATTTTCACAGGTTTCTATAATTGGAATAAGGTCAAGGTTCGATACTGTGATGGTTCATCTTTTACAGGGGATATAGAGGCTGTAGACCCTGTGAGTAACTCACATTTTATTCCCATTTTTTTCTTTTTTCTTTGTCGAATTCCTCATTTTCAAGAGCAAAAACACTGGACTGTTATCTCAGTTTTCTCATTAGATGTGTTTAGCAAATATGAATTGAAATGCAAACTATGCAGGCAAAGCATGTTTTCTATAGAGGATCTAGAATTTGGTTTGCCATTGTGGACGAACTACTAGCAAAAGGGATGAACAAGGCACAAAATGTATTTCTTTCTATGAGGAAAACTCTTTAATTCAGTAAATATTACTTGATTTGAGCCCTCTTAGTAGCATAAACAACATGTCTGCAGGCTCTTCTTTCTGGTTGTTCTGCTGGTGGGTTGGCATCTATATTACATTGTGACAAATTCCGTGATCTTCTTCCATCGACAACCAAAGTAAAATGTTTCTCAGATGCTGGATTCTTCATTAATGCGTGAGTTCTTGTTCCAGCCTCTTATATTGAAATTATCAAATTCAACTTGCTAATTTGAACAGTCACATGAAAATATGAGCATATCTAGAGCTGCTCTGCAGCTGATGAACTTATTGTTTTTCATGTCAGAAAGGATATTTCTGGTGTAGAGAGAATCAAAGCATTTTTTGAAGATGTTGTGGTTACACATGTATTCTTCTACAACTTGTCAATTCTTCAATCCCTCAAATTGTTGTGTTTTCTCAATCATTTACTGATCTATACAAGTTCTATACTAAAATTCCAGATACCGATATGTCACATTTGAAAGTAGTCAAATTCTAAATTACAAGGAACATTAATTTTCTTATACTAACATGACATTGCTTCTTTGTTTAGGGATCTGCAAAGAACTTACCAGCATCTTGCACTGCTAGATTGCCACCAAGCCTGGTAACAATTTCTTTCAGAAGTTGTAGAATTTGAAAAAATTTCTAAGTCAAATTGTCAATGCAATTGATACTTTTGCAGTGCTTCTTTCCACAATATGTAGTGCAAACATTGCGCACGCCACTCTTTGTACTCAATGCAGCCTATGATGCATGGCAGGTGACTGCTTTATTGCAGGCTTGTGTTTTTTTTTTTTGGTTCAAACAACTTTTATGCATTTATATCATTAATATCATTAAATTTTACCTATTTCATATAATGAACAATTGCAATGCCCTTTTTCTTGTTTTTTCTATAATGAGCTGCATTAATGATTTAATGATTTTTATGAATGACTTCATTGAATTACAGATTAAGAACATTTTAGCACCATCATCTTCTGATTCAAGTGGTGCTTGGCGAAAATGCAAGCTTGATATAAAGGCATGTTCATCGGCACAATCTCAGACCATTCAAGGTACTTTAAATGATGTCAATCCACCTGAGAAGTATTTAAAAGGAAAAAAAATTTAACTTAGAATATTCTGAGCAGAAATTGATCAGAAGACAAGGCATGCTTATTGACCAACAAGATAGTTCTAACCTTTTTGTAAGGCTACAGTTAGATAATTTTAGACAATTATGTTTTACAAGATGCAAATTTTTTTCATGCAAAACTTTCGAATTGTCTTGTCTAGTCAAGTTTTCCCTATGATCTATGGAATAAATTTGCATTTTCTTGTATAGATTCTTATGATTAATGTTTTCTATAGATAATTAGGACTTTAGTTTTTTAATTTCTCTTAATTCTCATTTTGCTAACCCCTCTCTCCCCACCTTTTCTTCTTACGTATCATGCGCTCTTTAAACTAATTTTAGTTTTGAGGCTCAAACATTAGATAAGTTGAAAATATCTTGTATTGTGCCCTCATCTATCAATTTCTAAGAGAACAACTGATGCAGCATTGGCACACTATAAGCAAAGAAACTCCTTACCCTTAAATACTTTTAATTACAATATTTATGTTTATGTTTGTTTTCCGTTTTTCTTTCACTCCCCAATTTCAGCTTTTATCCTTTTTAGTTATATTAGTACAATATCACCTTTTGCAAACAAGAGATAGATATAGTTAGGAAAATATGATAGAACATATATGGGGAAAAGGTAAGAAGTAGGTACTACATGTTATATTCCTTTTCCATAGAATACACGTCTTATATGCTTCATTTTCTTCGTGCTTCCCCGGGAGCTTACTGTTATCTCTTAAAGAAATATACATAAAGTTGTTATCAAAGCCTGTGGTCGGGAAGAGAGAAATCATGTAAGAGGGAAGTAATTGGATGGCTCTTGACGAGAGGCTTGTGGGCAACTCAGAATAATGTCGCCAAATGATTTGATGAACTCTCTTCAGAGTATTTCCGATTTGCAGTTGATATGATGCAAGAATTGAAAGCCATTTGTACGTGTGGTGGATTCAATCCAAATCCGCAATGAGTACTTCTAGTAATCATACCGATAAAAACTCGCAGTACACCCTATTGGAATGAGAAAAAAAGGCAACGCCTAAAAACCATACAAGATATTTCCAATTCTAAGGGAGAGGAATTACTTCGCCATTTGATGTTGACTCCGAAGAGGAGGAATACCCTATCCTTCCACCAATGTGTAGACCACAATACAAATTTCAAAGGAACTCAAGCGAGTTTTGAGTTAAAATGGATATTCCTTTTCGTTTTATGTGAAGATATTGAGGATCATCTAGATTGGGAACAAGCCGCAGAAACTTTCTTTGAGTATCTGGAAATAGCACCCAACAAACAAGTTAAATACGTTGCTTTTCACTTAAAGGGAGGTGTGAGCGCTTGGTGGCAGTGACTGTTATAGTCACGACACATTGAAGGGAGGGGTTGTATCCCAAGCTAGAATTGTATAAAGTAGTTATTGCGAGGTCATTTCCTGCCAACTAACTTTGAACATATGCTTTATATAAAATATTAATATTGTGTCCAACGAATGCATTTAGCCAGCAAGTATGTAGAGGAATTTTACAGATTAAGTGCTTGAAATGATCTGCATGAATTCGACCATGAACTGGCAGTACATTACATTGGGGAATTAAAAGAAGTCATCCAAGACAAGTTAAAATTAAATTATATTTGGTTTTTATCTCAAGATGTGAATTTTTCTCTTAAGGTTGAATTACAACTCAATTGTCATTCTAGGAGTCATTCACAAAGGCATCAATTGAGTGAGCCCTCTCAGAACTAAATTCATCATCTCATGAGAGTAAACCAAACTCAACACCACCACATCTTTCGGCCAACAATCTAGTAACTAATACTAGGATGCCTTCTCGCTAATGCACCACAACAAAAGAAAATCTATACTCAAAGCCTACCAATTTTAAATGCTTTAGATGTTTCCAATCCGGACACAAGTCGAGTGAATGTTCCCAGTGACAATAGATTCAAATTGTAGATGGTGAACTGAATGATGATCCTATAGCAGTGGAGGATGATGGAGAGGCTAAAACAGAAGACATTGTGGCAGATAAAGGTGAAACTGAAATTTGTATCTTAGAGAAGCTATTGGTAGTGCCTCAACAACCAATTTTCTCACAATGAAATGTCATTTTCCACACACGATGCACAAACAATGGGAAAATATGAGATCTATTAATAGATAATGACTGCTTCGAAAATAGTGTCACGGTCACTAGTTCAAACACTGCAGTTAAAACCCACTAAAAACCTTCAACCTTATAAAATAAGCTAGATGAAGTGAGGAATAGACATCCCTGTTTCAAAAATGTGCCAAGTGATGTTATCAATTGGAAAGCAATACTCTTGTGAAGTGCTATGTGACGTCCTTGATATGGATGCATGCCACATAATTATTGGTCGGCCTTGGCAATATGACAGTGGAGCTTTATATGATGGTCGACAAAACATTTATTCATTTGATTGGAAGGCTAAAAGGCTACATCTCTTACCAAATTCTATGGAATCATCTGCCAAGAATGGGAAAAATAAACTAGCTCGTAACATTATATCTGGTTTAACACTTCTACATGCTAGCTCAGCGCTTCTTTTTTTTCCTTAGTAGTCACAAAAAAGCTTACTTCAATAAATTCAAAATAGCCACCAAAAATAGTTCAAACTTTATTAAAATAATTTCAGGGCATTGGGGTATCTGAACTTATGTATGTTTTTCCTCCATTAAGGATAATACAACATCAAATTGAGTTCACGTCTAGAGTTACTGATGCAGGACCAAGCGAAATAAGTTATACAATTAGAGATTTAGGCTAAGATAACATCAAAGATAGCAAAATACAACAACAACAACATCAAGCCTTTATCCCAGTACGTGGGGTCGGCTACATGAATCCTTTTTCTCCATTGTGTCCTATTAAAAGTCAAATTCTCGTTTAAATCTAATAAAGAAAGGTCATTCCTAATATTTTCTAACCAAGTCTTTTTAGGTCTACCCCTACCTTTCTTAACATAAGTCAAATCTAATACCTCTACTCTCCTAACCTGGTCATCGCAAGGCCGCCGTTTTATGTGACCAAACCATCTAAGGCGACTTTCTCTAATCTTATCTTCTATTGGAGCTACTCCAACCTTTTCACGTATATGCTCATTTCGTATCCTATCTCTAAGGGTAAAGCCACTCATCCACCTGAGCATCCTCATCTCTGCCACACTTAACTTAGTATTATGCTTCTCTTTTAAAGGCCAACATTCGGCACTATCAAAGATAGCAAAATAAACTTCATAAAATATAAACATTACAAAATTTTGAACTATTAGATCATGTGATAGCAAGAAACTCACAAGTAAAGGCTAAGCATTAAAAAATAGGTGAATCAATTTAGACCAGCTAACATGGGTTGGCATAAGTCCAACATTTAATTAAAGGACTAGTTATAAGAGTTTCAGATCACTCAAATTTAAGTAGGACTTGACAGATTAATCAACACATATGAGATGATGCTACTATAGATGAAATGAGAAGATAACAAGGGAAGGGTTTGATACTTAGCTCATGAATGGGAGGAATGGAGTCCTAGATGAAATGACGGCTAGTTCCTCCTTGGATTCCCCTTGAAATCCTTACTCTTTGATAAATCGATGTCCTCGTTGCAAAAGTAGATGTTAGGTTTCCTTCGAAAGGTAGATTAGTGAGGAGGAAAAGAAACTTTCAGCTATATGAGGATTTGGAAGTGGAGAAATCAGCTAGGGAGGTAAAAAGGTAGAGTTACTTGCTTGAGAAAGAGAGATGGTTGATGTGATTTGCTTGGGAAGGGAAGTATTTGGCTTGGGAAATGGTAAAGTTTAAGTGGTTACTTTGGGAGAAGAGAGAATTTAATGTAGCTTGCTTAGGAAGGGAAGTATTTGGCTTGGGAAAGGAAAAGTTGAGTGGTTGCCTTGGGAAGAGAGAATTAAATGTAGCTTGCTTGGGAAAGGAACTAGTCGGCTTGGGAAAATGAAAAGTTAAAGTGGTTGCTTTGGGAAGAGAGAAAAGTTAAAGATGTTGTGGGTTCCCAAAGGTCACAATTATTTGAGACAAATATTCAATTAATGTGAATTAATTACAAGATTGGGAAGCCTAAGGGTCTAGGGTGTTGGGGAGAAGGTGGAGGCAGGTATAATGGAAGGAAGAGAGGAGGTGGTGGGTTGAGGGTAGTAGGTTGCTGTAGCGGCGGGGATTATTGGATGGCTAGGGAAGGAGGAGAAGAGATAGAGAGGGAGATGATATCAACAAAGAGCTCACAAGCTGTTGGATATTTCTTTGCCTTTCTCCAAAGGACTTCACATGCTAACTCAATTCATCAAGAGAAGAGGAAATATATAATCATAAATTTTATATCAAATATTCATTATTCTTACAAAAGAATAATGGGCCATATATATAAACACCAAAATATGAAATGAATAAAAGACAATAAGGTCATTGGCCAAACAACACAAAAGACTAAAAATAAATAACACCATATAAATCTCCTACAACATATGAAACTAAAAATATAAAGACTTAAACAAGGTCGTAGATCTCCGGCCTCTATGGTGATAAACCCTCCAAGCTTTGATGTCCCCATCAGGTACTTTATCAAATTTGCCACATTATAAATTGAGTCTGGAAGAACATAACATTTTGCAGGAGTTGGTCAATGATCTTATGCACAAATAATTCATCCAACCGAGTCTAAGCCCTTGTGTCGTACATACTTTCCTTATCCCAATGAAAGATGATCAATGGTACATGTGCATCGACAGCCGGGCAATCAACAAACTTTGCTTGAATTCAATTATTCAAGTCAGGTTGAATCAAGTTCTTTTGGTTGAGCTTTGATTCAAGTCCTCGTTGGTCAAATTATAAGTCATCATTTTTGTTCAAGTCACGATCAAATGAGGTTCAAATTATAACTTATCCTTTTGTATTTTTTTATTTATGTTCAAATTTAATTAAAG